TTCTGTGGCGTATCCCTGTATCACTCAACCACGTTCAACCAGTTAATTATAAAGTAGGATACTATATCATGCATGCATGCACCTATGTCAGTATCTAATAATTCAATACACAAGAACTTTTAGTTGAAATGTGTGTAAGTTTATATTCAATACAGATAAGTATGAAATAAATTATATAATATTCGGATATTCTACTTTAATAATAATACGTTAAATTTTAAGTTATAACTTTAAAGAGTACATTTTAAATTGAGCTTGCAGTATTATATTATTATATCAGCTGCTATAGTCTTTAGTATAGACTCTATGCCTATTGAGCTAAGATATAATTATTTTTATTTATTCATTAATGATTTTACCTTTATTTGAAATATATTAACTAAATATCTAACCTGTATAATCTTCAATATATCATTAAAATATACTATATATAGGTACCACTATATGGAAAGTACTTTTATAGTATTATAATATAATAATAATAACCTATATCCGTTTATTACACAATACTATGTTCATTTTGGATAAATACAAAATCATATAATCGGGTCTCACGGCTTTTTTGTAATACTTTCCATTCAAATGTACCCGCAGTATAATACACCGTCGTATTAGCACACCCTCGATATTTCCATTATAATGCACAGTCTAAATACCCGAATTTAATTCTACCTGTCCGACCATTTGATGTATATATTTTTTATTTATTTTATTTTTTTTTTTTTGTATGTCGTCTTCATCGCATCGGATCTCGACGTTTTTATCGATCAGCTAGCGCATTCATAAACTGTTTAATTACTTATAGTCGTACCTATACACAATGTAATAATATGTGAGGAGACATTTAAGGTCCAATTTGCTATTGTCGGTAAAATAAAATCACCGACAAAAGCGATTTATATTATATTGCGTAGCTGTGACCCGTGTAATATGTGCGTTTAAACGTTGCCGAAAGAATTTCCGGTATACCAAAAATGCAGCATAGTTCCTGCGCGCGACTCCTTTGTAAGCGAACCGACTGCCAAAGATTGTAGCGTTATCGTTTCGCGGTATGGATGATGAGTGTGTCACGTATCTATATATAATATAATAAGCGTGTAAATACCATTATCGATGGAATCGGTCGATTGAACAGTGTTTTTGCACTTGTGGGATCTAATACGAACCGACGCAATGGGTACAAACACGCACCCGCACAATGAACATTTTTAAAGAATATAATACAAATTATTATACAACGACGATAATGACGGAGGTAAAAAAAAAAAACTCTGCTGATGCACTTGTACGGCTAAAAAAAAAAAAAGATCTCTGAACAGTGAGCTCAATGAACCGATCCGTCTATTATCCCTTTAATCCGAACAAACTCTCCGTATCCCCCTTGTTGTTATTCGGTAGCCTGTGCACAATAGGAACAAACTAGTTGTCTGTATTACACAAAACTCTATACATACCACCTACATAATATATGTATACTGTATAGGTATATATTTGTCGAATATAGCTAACGAGCACGCACTGCAGATCCTAAATAATTACTATATAATAATGCGATCATCCACGGATAACAAAAAAGTTTTCGTCTTTTTTCTTTTCTTGACCAAACTTTTAATTGCGTGCGTTATAGGTACCTGTGCATCATTTTAAAGTTAAATTTACATGTAATATAGTGGCATATATCATTATAAATTTAAAAGTAAAAGCCTTTAATAATTTAAATATTGAAATAACTATTACCTACTCATGACTTGTAGATAAACAATATATATTAACTCTTAGTTCTTACATATGCAAACGTATTGATTTTAAAATCATCTGTAACAACTGTGACTACCTATAGTTATAAGTAGTAAACAAATAGATTGAGTATATACTTGGTATACCTATCATATGGTCATTGGTGAATGATAAATAATATCACATTGAGAAATAAGAATCATTAAAGTAGGTATCTATATTTGTTTCAATTGCTGTAATAGTCTACACTCTGCATAATTACACAGATTGTCTTGTACATAGTAATTTTTTTAGCTTTATAAAATACATTATATAGATTCACTTGGATTATCTCCATTACCTCCATAACAATAAAACTCAATTTATAAATTGCATATTTACACGTAGGGACATTATAATTTATATTATATTATTATTCACATATTTATTTAATTTCTTAATTATTTTGTTAATAACATTATCTTAATAATTATTGTGCCTACGATTTTCTCAAAGCATATTCGAGTTGCGTCCTGATTAATTATTTATACGCACATAGTTATTTTCCTTCCCACTTTTATAGACTGAAAACTGTCATTCATAAAAATTATGTAGTCAAAATACTATAAAACAAAAATAATATTACTTATTATACTATAAATTATATTTGAAGCAAAATTTAAATTAAATTCATTCATTTTATTTAATGAACTAAAAAACTCATCTTTGTACATTATTGATATTAAAAAATACCAAAGTAGTAAGAATAATATTTTTGGCACTATAAATAAAAAATAATTGATAGAATACTTTAGGGTAACTTTTAAATGTGTTTTAAATGTTATATCGACATATAAAACTTTACAGTCACTTAAATTTTTTTAAATCTATTATTTTTGAAAATGATACAATATTTTTTTCCGTATTACTTATAAATAAAAAATGTTCATATTTCTTAATTTTTATTCAATCCAAATTTATTAGTAATAAATGCAATTTTATTCTTCTACATTTTTTGGCAATTTTTGATTTATTGCTCTATAAAGCATAGGTAATACATATTTTTTCTAATACGATTTATATCTATGATTAATATATTAATATCTCCTTCACGTAAATCCCGAAATAGAATTATAATATTATTTTTCTCATGGGTCATCGAGAGCTTTTGCATTTCAATTTATTACTTAATTGTTTATGATTTAAAAACTATTCATCGTTGTCTTTGTTGCGGTCATGATAAAAAAGCCTAAAAATTATTTTATTGTATTCATTTAATTTAAAATAACGTTTACATAAATATATTATACACAATCATATCTGAAAATATCATTTGAAAATTTTTGGAACGTAAATTTTTAACCATTTATACAATATAATTATTTATTTTTTTTTCACTTAACAATTCTATTATTTCTATTACGTCAAAGGTAAAATTTTTATAACGATTTAATATATATTAAAAACAGATACGTTAAAAGATTTCAATGAATGTCACGGTGGAAATGATATTAATATGAACAAAATTAATTACAGGTGGTATTTACAGGTAATATATTGATAATCAATGAAACAGATAAATATTTATGAATACATTACCAAACATATAGAAATAAAACAACAATTATTCAGCATACACAACTCATACCGTCGCCAAAAAGCCATGGACGCAACTCGGACGTGCTATGCAAAAACCGCGATTGCAATATAACTGTTGCAGCGGATATTTTCGTTTTTTGGTACAATACCCGGAGCCTCATATTTTTTCCTAATTAAAGACACCAAAAGGCAAAAATAATAAATATTATAATTTTTATCAACGTTCTTTGAAAGGGTACAAGATAGGGCACTTGATTCACTGAAAAAATAATAATAACTTATAGTTTGATAAATATTACCATGGTATAAAACAAAGAAATGTAGAGTTCATAGTTACCGATACCGATTAGCACGTTTGATTGTTAGTTATAGTATTAATTTATTACATAGCACCTTTATTTAGTTTAAAATTATATATTTTAATATTTTTGAACATACAAAATGCATGTATATTAGAACACTATTTAAAAAAACACCGTCCATTGATATGGGCAACATAATTTCCACATTAAATTCATAAACTAAATAATATTTATTTATTTGTCATACTGAAAGTCATCGAAAAATCGACATATAATTTGCCTATACTTTACTCCTTAAGATACAACTACTTGAATAATTCACACGGCATGATTTACTACTAACTACCTAATTTTATTTATTGATTGTTTTGTTACATTTTTAAAGATTTTAAAGATTAACTAAGCTATACATTTTTAGGCTTTAGTTATTTTATTGTCCACATTAATTTCATTTAATCTTGTATAATGTTTAAAAGTTTAAAATAATAGTAATTCTTTTTCATTTTGTAAAACCTCAAAAATTGTTTTTACACCCATTGAAAATTATATTGTACCAAATAATGTACCAATAATAAGTAATGTTACAAAAAAATAAAAATGATTAAATTATGTTATCCAAGTCATGGCATCTAATATTATTAAAACGTTTAGTAGTAATATTGAATTACCTATTTTATTTGTACTAGATAGGTAGGTAACACTTAACACCTATTAAAATGTTCATAAACACTTGTATTACCTGCTTATCATTAATAATTATTTAAGAAAAAGTTAAGTAACAATATGTTGTAAGTATCAATAAATTAATATATATGATATTGAAGTTTTTTTACTTTTTTCTCATTGATATTAAACATGGAATATTAAGTATCACTGGTGTTTTTTAAAATTACATTGCTAGCGTTGAGTTTTTCATCATAAATCATAAACAGGTATTGAAAACATGATTCAATCAAGTTGTAGAACCTAAATTTCTAATACTAGATGCTTTCTTTTTTAATTTGAGTTTCCTCTTGGCTCTTGGGTTTTTGATGACAATACAAGTATAGAATTTAAATTTACTAGGAGTTTTTTTCTTCTTCATTGGCATCATAACTCTTCAAGAGTTTTTGCCGCCATCGATACTTCCTTCCACTTTTCTCGACTTTGTACTTTTTCTTCCCAGTTTAATATCCCTAATTTCTCTAGATTCTGCTTTATTCCATCTATCAGGGGCGGACTGGGCCAGCGGGATACCGGGAAGTTTCCCGGTGTGCCGCTGCTCAAAAAATAATTGTTATTATTATATAATTATTAGTTATTAGCTATTACTTATAAGTTATAATAAAATAGTAAATAAGTATAAATATAAATTATAAATATTTTATATTTTAATATCTAACGCCCGTGCATGAAAAATTGTTTACATTTGGTGTTTAAAAATAGATTTTAGGTTTTGGTTCGGCTGATACTTCACCTCCCCCTTCCCGGCATCAACAACAATTATTATTTATAATTATAACTTCATATACGACGCCAATATTATGCCAATCGATTAATAATAATAAAGCACTGTTATAAGTTTTAAGTTTATAACCATGTACTAATTATTATCATAATGTTGTATAATATGATAATAATATATTTTATTATTAATGCGTTAAATTCTTAAATTGGCTGTTAACTTGGTAGATACACTATACAGTTTCGTATGTTCAGTGTTTTTTCTTGTTGTATATTTCTTTGGTGATTTTCAATATCTGCCTGTATGTTGAGTTTGAGTATTGGTTGTTAGAAATGGAAAGCAAAAGAAAGGGTGGTGCCGAGAAAATGAGAGAAAAAAAAAAAACTCTTAATAAAGTCAAGTGAGAGCTGTTTGAAAATAAACCAATGCTTTTCATCAAATACACATAGTGACTCTGGTAAGTAAATTTAATTTCAAATGTACCTCACAAAATTGTAAATTTTTTTGTTTTAAATTATGGTGAAAATAAAATATAAAGGGAATCATTGTTATTTGATTTATGAGCGTTTGTGTATGATCAATAATTCGAATAATATATTATTTTAGTTATGAAAAAAAATCTCTGTAATCAACCACAAATAAGCATTCAAAATGTAAGTACCTACCTATAATAATTATTTTTACCTAGTATTCTTTAAAAATAATAGATATTCAATATAAATATAATTTAAGGAATAATGAGTTTAATCTAGTTATAATAGTAACTACAAATACTACAATATAAGTGTTAAAATATTTTATATTTTTACATAAGGTGTTAAATATTATTATGTTATGATTAAATTACTGTTACCATTTACCAATATATTATTTGTTAATTGTTTGTAAAGTACTTATTTAATTTTGAACAAAACTATTAGGTAAGTTTAGTTTACACAAAATGTATTCAGTAAATAAATTAGTTTTAATTTTTAAAATAGTTGTTTTATATTCTTTATTATACTGTATTAAATACAGATTTACAAAATAATTTTTTTAGAGTAATGTGAGTAATGATGAAGTGAATTTTGGTGCTAGTACTAGTAGTACAAGCTCTAATTTAATGGATTTTGAAGATAACCAACTAGTACAAAATCAAGTAAGAATAAAAATTTAATTGATATTTGTTTTTTTTTTTTTACTTTCATTAATTAAATGTTTAAAATGTGACCAATTTTAGAATGATAATGTTGATTATTTGGGCAATATTTCTAATAAAAATAGTTTAAAAATCTTCTTAGATCATGAATAAAAAAAACTACTCTTAAAAATTTATCTAGTTTTTACATTAAATTTATTTTATACATCAAATTTTTTTAGTAACTTCTTAAATAATTGGTTATTGATGCTACCTAACAATTTATAAATTTGTATATACCTACTAATATTATTAAAAGAGTATAAAAAAAAAAAAAATTTAGACATAATTTATTTGATAAATTAAATATTCATTACATTTATATTATATATTCATAATATTCTTTATTAACATAGATATTTAAAACAAATATACTTTCTACTAATGCAAGTATGAATAATGAACAATATTTTTACACTACAACATTAAAAATTATATTTTAGCTTTTAGGTTTTACATTTTACAAAAATAATTTTGTTACTATATGCTAATATGTTTTTTTCAATATTTTTTTTTCTAAGAATTTGTACTGGAAATTAAAAAATTTTAATACATTTTCAAGTAGCAATGAAAAATAATTGACAATTTGTCACCCTTATAAACTATTTTTTTTTTCTCTAGGATGTCATTGTTGTTAAAGATATTAATGTTGATATCTATGAAAAATCACAAATTAGCTATTTTAAAAAGCCCAACAAAAATTATCTTGGTCAATTTTTTGAATATCATCCACAACAACCATTTTTGGATATTCCTTTTAAATCAGCTAAAGCCTTTTACCGGAAAAATAAAACTCAACGTGGTTGGCTTTCGTATGATATATTTTCCCAAAGTTTATTTTGTAGTGTGTGTTTATGTTTTTCTTCAGAAGATAACGTGTTTACCCAAGGATTGAAACTTTGGACACATGTTTATCAAAGAATTGATGAACATGAAAATAGCAAAAATCATACAATATGTACAGATGCTTATCTACACCATGCAAATAATAAAAGTATAGACTATTTACTATTTCCTGAACAAAAACATAAATTAAAAGAAGAAGCTAAAAATAATAGAAAAATACTAGAAAGGGTTATTGAGGTAGTAAAACTAATTGGGAAGAGAGGTTTAAGTTATCGAGCTGCTCAATATGAATCATCTTATTTTTTAAACGATCCAACACTTGACCATGGTAACTTTTTAGAAATTCTACTTCTTTTAAAAAAATATGATGTGACATTAAATGAACATATTGATAAAATAACCAAAAGTGCTCAAGAAAAAGCTGCTCGACATAAGTCTACAAAAGTAAAAGGAAGAGGTTCATCTATAACGTTCATTTCAAAAACAACGGTTAATTTGATTATTGATGCTATAAGTGTTCTTATAAAAAGGTCAATTTCTTCTCAAATACAAGAAGCTGAAATGTATTCTGTGCAGCTGGATACTACACAGGATGTGTCTGTTCAAGATCAGTGTTCTGTAATATTAAGATATGTGAATCCAAAAGGAGTGAATGAAAAACTAATTTCTATTGTAACAATGAAAGAATCGACAGGAAAAAGTTTTCATGAAATGCTGCAAGATGTACTGAACAGCAATGGACTGGATGTAAAAAAACGCATTGGAAATGCCACAGATGGAGCAGCCAATATGCAAGGGAGATTTAATGGCTTTTCATCCTGGCTTTCAAAGTCTTCACCCGGTCAAATTCATGTATGGTGTTATAGTCATATTTTGAATTTAGTTATTATTGAAGCAACAAAATCACCACTTCAAGCTGCCTCTTTATTTGTTTTATTAAATGATGTTGCGGTTTTTTTTAAAGAATCGTACAAGAGAATGAATGTATGGAAAAAAACAATTGGTGAGAAAGATTTAAGAAGACTTGTGACTGTTGGAAATACTCGTTGGTGGTCTAAAGAGAAAGCTTTACATCATATTTTTGTAGATCAGGGACATTTGTTTGTAGAGATGATTTTAGCTTTAGACACTATACAAACATTAGATTCTTTTACACCTGAAGTTCGTGTAAAAGCAAAAACTCTGAAAGGATCATTTTTAGAATATCAAACTATATTAACGGCATTTGTTTATGTGCATATTTTTGAAATTGTTGGTCCTCTCTCCAGGTATTTACAAACAAAAGGTATAGATTTAATAAAGTCTCAAGAATTGGTTGATGGCTCTCTAGAGCAATTGAAAAAATTACAAAGAAATATGCAAAGTGTGAAAAAACGAACTGATAATTTTATTGAACAATTGAATAGTAAATTTGATGATTGTGACTTGGATGTATTCATTGAAATAAAGTTTCTTGAAGTAAGAAATCGGTATAAGAAAAAAATGTACGATGAAAAATCTTCAGATACACCTATTCTAAATGCTGAGAAAAAGTTTGAAGTTCAGGTTTACAATGTTATATTAGATAACACAATTTCAAGTATGGAAAAAAAGTTTTCCTCTAATAAAATGCTATATACAGATCTATCATGTTTTTCGCCAAATAATTTTGGAGACATATCAAATGAAAAATTGCCTTCTAATGCATTAGTGGAGTTGTGTAAAGTGTTAAAATATTTTGATAATTGTATAACAATTGAAAAGTTAAGAAATGAACTTATAAGTTTTGCAGGCAATTGGAAATATTTAAAAAAGTCTTTACCTGACGAATATATAGTTAATGAAGACATACAAGATACTGATGATGATAACAATGATGATGTTGACAGTAATGAAGAAAAGATTGCAAGTTCCAAAATGTGTAAATCATGTATGAATTGTTCAGTTTGTTGCTACAATGTTTTACTCAAGTATAATTTATATAGTAACGCATACTCAAACCTTGCTTTAGCCTACAAATATCTTCTTACATTACCATGTACTCAGGTAACACTAATGAATTAATTATTTTTAATACAAACGTAATTTATTAATAATATGTAGTAATATAAATACAATAACAATTTAAGTTTTATTTTTTAGGTAGCATGTGAAAGATCATTCTCAATTCTGAAGTACATTAAATCACGACTGAGAAACACTTTAACGGAATCAAAATTGGAGGCATTTATGCTGATGAGTATAGAAAAACATATTTTACTCGAAATTGATAACGATGACATTATTGATATTGTTAAAGATCACAGTAAATTATTAAGATCTAAACTAACCTATTAAAATGTTTAATTAAATGTTAAAATATAGATATAAAAAAGTAAAGAATATTTAATTTATTACAATATCTTACAATTCTTACACATTAGTATTACAATATGTGTTATTATACCTAATGTTAATATTAATTTAGTAATATAGGTAATTATAAATAAGAAATATATTATATTTTTTAGTCTATTAAAGTATAGACTTCAGATCTTCAGATAATAATAATATTTAATGTACTAAAAATATTGCGAATTTCAAGTTGTTTTTTGAGAAAAGTGAAGAGGATGCATTTCTCATTGAATAAAACGGTATATTTGAATTTTTATACTTTGTGATGACGAGAAATGGCAAGGGCCGGTCAAAATATAGATTTCCCGGGCCGAAATGTTGCCCCAGTCCGCCCCTGCCATCTATCCATCGCTTTTTTTGGACGTCTTCTTGGTCTCTTTCTAAGAGTTTCTAAATAATATAATAAATACCTATACTTAAAAATGTATAAAATAATAATAATAATAATGATTAATAGATAGACAATAAAAGTAAATATAAAATAAGTAATAAAAATGTATCAATTTAAATAAACCTGATAATAAACGAATTTCAAAACATTTTTTTATTAATATTCTTATTAAAATTAATACTTTATATACATAGTTTATTAAAATTAATATATTTATGTTTAAAAAATTGTACGTTTAAGTAGGTAAAAGTTATTCATAATATAGAATTTTATCCGAAATAATAAATTATTTTGTTCATAAATGTAGTTTTGATCTAGATTACCTAATAAAAAACGAAAAGTATTTATAATATCACTCAATATCCATATAAATCTGTTAACAGACAAAAATTATTTTGAAACATTTAAAACCATTGAATTTTAAGTTTTTTCACTTCCTAGACCAAACATGGAAGGCAATTTATATGTTAATATGTGACCCTTTTTTGTGATAAAACCGGGAGACGACTTAAGTATATTGGAATTTGGGAAACAATTCAAGTAATTCGGATAGATGAGAGGCCCCCTCTCATCACACACTCTGCATGTTTAATACGTCAAGAAGTATTTTTGTAGTAGGTAGAATATCGAATCGGTAACTTATTAAGTTCCATTTTAAAGATAAAATACCAAACATATTCAGGCGGCTTTTATTTAGATGCATGACTTAAAATAACATATCATTTGGGTGAGCTTATTTTATACTCATATATATATATATATATATATATGTATAATTTAGGTGCAATTTATATATACATATACGTTATTCCTTACTACTTTACAATACGTAGGACTCTCAGACAACTCTTATTGGTATGGTTAAAAAAATGAAGTAAACATCATAAAGGTAGTTAAATAGGTATGTTACTTCTTTTGCGATGTACACTTTGGTTACATAGTAATGTATTCATAAGTTCACAAGTCACACACACATGGCACATCCATTTTTTTCTAACTATATTATTCATTAATTTATAAATTCGCACAAACGATCAGTAATTTTTTCGCCCAAATAATATAATGCTCACTATTCAAGTAAATTTTAGGTCATTCACGCAAATATTCAAACATAAATAGTAGATATCTGTAAACAATTAATTACTATTAGGTATTAAAATATAAAATTTATGAGTAATTTTTTTTTAAGTATTTTACAATTACGATTTAACTAAGGTAAAATTTAATTTTAACATAGGTACTTTTATAAATATAAACGGCATACACATACAATGATAGCGTCTTTGGTCAACAGTGTTCAGATGTTCTAGCTATCTATGAAATTCTTTGTACAAACTGTAGTCAGTATAAGCCACACACACTCATTAGTCTTTACTCATTATTAATAAGTTCTAAATCTAAGATTTTCTAATGCAAACAGTGTTGCACATGTAATAATACTGTTACCAAGTTTCAATTTGTTACCTATTCAAGATTTTAAAAATATTATTATTATTTAATACAGTAATTAGACTTAAGTATAGTTGAATAATAAATTAAAGTGATATCACAATATTAAAAAAGTATAAATAAATATGTATAATTAAAAATTGGTTCTTGCATTTACTATGCTAGTCAACTATGAGATTTCAATTCACGACACTAAAAGTACTAATAAGTATTTGTGTAAAAGCAAAAATCTATTATCCTAACTTGCATCTATCTCTTACAGGGTACAAAATAATAATAGTTATATTTTAACAGTATTATTTCATTATTATACTTAAGATTGTGTATAATAAACAAAGGAATATTTAAAAAATAGGTTTTCCATAAAATTTAACAAAAACCCGAAAAGTATTATATGTTTAAAGTTTAAAGTTAAGTAGGTACAGTGGAACCTCTATTTAACAATCTTTTTTAAATAACAAACTATATTTTGGAACCAAATAATTTTCAATTAAAAACGTTTTAATTTAACAAATTAATTTTGTATTCTTTTTTTTATCAAATTTAAAAACTGCATACTTGTCAATCAGACTTATATAAAATATAATTGTGAGTATGTTTATAGTCAAAATGGTACAAAAGTTGTTCAACATGATATCAAAAACTTCTTCAGCAAAGAATAAAAAAAATTTATAATTTACATATTTAATATATTTTAAATTGATTTTTTTATCTTTATTTATTTATTAATATTATACATTGCTATTTACATATATTTTGTACACTAAAAATTAGTTTTTTTTAAGTAAACAAAAAAATATGATTTATTTTTAACAAAATTTCCATTTAACGAATTTTTTTTAAGAACCTTTAAGTTTGTTAAATAGAAGTTTCACTCTAAGTTATTTAAAATTTTATTTGAATACAGATAATAATTTAGTTCTTAACTTAAAATATTATTACGATAATAAGCTTAACTCAATTTCGCTAAGTTAAATTTTGTTATAATACTTAAAAATTAAATTACTTAACTATAAAAGTACATAATATATATCACACTTTGAGTTTTAAATAAACCTAACTGTAAATTCAAAAAAATATTATGAGATAAAATTAATTAACATTTCCAAATAATTAATATCTAAACATAATGATATGATATGACTGATCCTAACAATTATCATCACGGTATTGGTTACACAGTATTGTATACAAATAGTAGTTCATAAAATGTTCTATGACAAAAAGATGAACTTAATTTTAAATGCCATTAATATATTATTATGCCATAAATGTATTTTTATTTATCATAATTTTCTTATTTTTTTTTTCCTTTTGATTGTAAAGAGCTTCTGGAATACTATTTTCAAGCGGCAGTATTCAATCCACTGAATAAAGAATTGTTATGAGGCCAATAAAGTCTAAAAATAAAAGCAAATGTTATATATCATAAAATTAAATGGTGAAGTAGAATTATTTTAAATACAATATTATGTTTTGTTACATAAAGGGTAATTAGTAAATATTATGTTAGGTACAATTAATAAAAAATTATCACATCATATTTAAAAAACTGAGAATTTAAGAGTTTTGAACTACAATGACCTTGGTTATTTTGCTATATACTTGCCTTAAATTAGCCAAATTAGGGCCTAAATTTGAACAACATACCAAACTCATCAATGAAGTAAATCACAAGTGTATTGAATTTAATTACAAATTTATAAATGTTTATTAATTTTTTTAAATTTATAGTAATAAATAAAATACTTAATTAATATTGAAAGCCAAAAAAAAACCAAAGATGTAAGAACCATCTTAACAAAGAACACCAATCCATAAAGCTTTACCTGTAAATTCCTCATAATTGTGCAACTCACAAGTTGCTTTAATTACAATGAAATTATGAATCACTTAAAAAATTGTTTCCATTTATATCATCTTTATGTATACAGTTACACAGGATTATCACAAGAAACACACATTCCACTTTCACCAATTATTGCATTTTTAGTAGAATTAGATGCATGCCTTCTTTCACTGTTCTTCAGAAAAATTATAATAAGGATAATCATGACATCATATTGCTAAGAAAAACTATAGCAGTAACCGAAAAATCATACAAAAAGAGTTGTGGCCTAATGCAATGTCAAAATTACCAATCTTAAAACAAACACACAATTGTTACTATCATGAACCTTATGCATCACATGCAATATGTGGCAAAAACAAAGAATGTCCAGCGTTCAAGTCAGTTTTCTGAAAAACCACTTTGAATGTGTTAGAATTCAATACTCAATTCAAAATTAAATTATATGCAGAGACTATCAACAACATAAATTTTCATATAAATCATATATAGCTTTCACATTTAATTACAACTTAAATTAAAACCTCTTATTCAGGCTTTAACTTTTCTTAGTTTTGTCAAAGACCCCATCATTAGAATCTAATACATAACTATGATCTATGAACTAGCATAGCCTTATTAAAAAAAATATATATATATATATTAAAATAATATTTAATTAATTATTATCAATTTAATTAATCTGCCAATCATTATATATCTATTTTTATTATTCTTGTTACAATATTTATTTCAAGTTAACGAAACTTTTTTTTTATATACACTGCTATGGTGAAGGTGATAACATATTATTTTTCAACCTTTAGATTGTTATAAGTTATAACTTATAACATATTGATTAAATATAATAATTTTTGAGGTATAATAATGTATACCTACTCAATGAATATATATGTACACTACAGTAAAACAATTCATAAAAATATTAGTTTTTTAATACTTTTAATGTGTTTAAATACCTATATATTGATGAACATGTATAACCAAAATTGGTATTTCAAGATATTTGATGAATTTCAGTAATGATTAAACAATTTTAATTTTATTTTAATTTGTTCGCTTTATTTCTATCACTGTAGATATGTCTAAGCACTATGAGATTACAGTTGCATTGAAACTAGGTCTACTATCCTTAAAGAACTATAGGCAATTATTATATCTTATATTCACAAGCTTATAATCAGGTAGTCTCGCCTTCTTTAATCTTTATGCTCCTCATACTCCATACATTTAACATGACTTCTTAAGTATCCAGTATGCAATGAGTA